ATATGTTTATCTCTTTTTTATATTGACCCTTTAGCCAGGCACCATCTGTCTCTCAAAATCTATTAAGCTCAAAGTGGCTTACTTTGATCTGATCATCTTGGGAGGCTATTCATTATAATAGCCAGCTATAAATCATGACCTCAATGGTTAGCCCATCAATCTAAGCAGACTTCACATTAATCATTCCCAACCCAAAGACATGCATTAAACATTCCTTTAAAGCGCTGAATAAATATGAATATAGGGCTGGACTTTGAGGGCTAAAATTTAATTCCATCTTCCACAATTATTGCTTTTTCAGCAAAGGGGCCCAGCAATTAGTACTACTAATATATATGAGTACTACTGCTAAATGTCCCTGAGAATGGCTGGTCAATACAAAGTCAAGTGAAAGAATAAAGCCTTCCCTTTGGGACCATAAGCCCACAGTTTACTACAGGACTGCAGTCTCCTCCCTGTATCCATCTTCTCACTGAAGTGCATTCTGGTAGAAACTCACCTTCACAGAAAACCACTTGTGATTCCATTAGGTCTCCTCAGGCTGATGTCCTACAAAACAGAGAAGAATGAGCCAAAGCATGGGCAAGAATAGGAACTCATCTAAAGATCCTTCCTTATTTTCCTTTATCGGCTGTCACGACAGTGACACCAGAGCACTTCACGACAAAAGCACGTAGCTGTGGCTTGGGTTGACAGCGTTTATGGCCTTCCCCTCAAGTGTCTGGTTCTGCTTTTTAGCAGTCCTTTTGTGGCCCAGAAAAAGGGAGCAGCATTTACCTCCTGCACGAAACATGCAACAAATCTTTTCAACTAGTCAGAACTTTGATATCCTCTTGCACTGTTATATACATTAAAAGGAAATCACACTGTTGTGATCTTTGGAAATTAAATTCAATGTCTTAGTCTGGCAGGTGCTGTAGAAGTGTAACCCTGTTACTAAAATGTACAGAAATGCTGCTAAAGAAAAATAGAACTGCAAACCACTTAAAATGGGCAGTTTTGAGGGAGAACGAGAAACTTTGGTACATAAAATAGCAGTGTGATGTTGGCCATGTGAGGGAAGAAGAGGGCCCACCTTTTTGTGCAAAATTACAGGATTTATTACCATGTTTGAGTTTTGCAGACTGTCTTGACTACATCCCCTCTATATCTTAAGAGGATTATATGTTGTCATGGCTTCTTAATTGAGAATTTTTTTTGACAATTTTCTTCAGACCAGATGTGAATTTTAGTGGTTTTCATATGTGATCTCAAGGTTTGAAAGCTCCTGAGTTTGGCAATCCAGCCATCACCCTCTGACATCTGTCTCTCCATCACCCAAATTCCTTTTCTTCACTGTCCAGAAGCAAGCCCATGGAGAACAGTGCCCACACTCCATAGGCAGAAGAATGATGGTAAATCTGATTTGACCACACATTTGGGAATTGTTATTGTTCATAGTAGGCAAAATGCAGAGTTTAAAGTAGTAGGGAGCAGCTATTTGGGAAAAAATGACAGAATCAAACAGAACTGAGCTGTTTGCTGACCAGCACAGAGAAACTTTGCCATGTCAAGCAACTAAAGGTGCACAAGGATGAAGCTTATAATTTTATTTACGAGGCTGCTTGATAGGCTTTAAGCACTAATGATAATCTGCGTACTTCTTTTGACTGTTACTAGCTAATGCTGTTAATTTTGGGTCATAGAGGAACTAGTGCTGACTCTGGGATTTGGTATTGACTTTACAGATGCCTAATGAATTGGAGTAGTGCCTCTCACAGTTAACAACTGGCTTTGAAGATGCTACTTTGCTATATCTTTTTATGCTCTACTTCTCTCCCTGTATAATAGCTTTTTTTTCTTCTTTTTTTTAATGCTATTAGAGCAGTCACAGCCATTTTTTCTTTCTTCTTTTCTGACTTGAAATTAAGCAATCTTTTTGTGTCTGAGTTCAGTTATAAGAGATAAATTCGAGCTTAACCATTTCTGCTTCTGCTTTGTTCACATCCTAATTGCAGTGAATTATTAGCTCATTAAAAAATAACTTCCACTCAGCCTTGTAAGTGCAGAGTGTATTTTCATATGCCCAGACCATTAGGAATGGCTCCAACTGCACAAGACAGCACTTTTGTTACTACTTTTTATCCTATCTCAAAGCTCATAAGCAAACCGTGTCATAAATGGCATTCAGACAACTGCTTGTTTAGACTCACATCTTTATCTCCAGGTGTCTCTTTATGACTTGATTGGTTTGAAGCTCAAATGATAAATCTAATCTGGCTTCACTGGCTGAGTAAGTACCTGTTCACACAAGTTGCTCAGAAACACAAAAGTCCATGAGGTCGCTCCTCCTTTCCTTGGCCCCGTGAAATGCTCCCAGAGGACCACCTCCTTGAAGGAGTGAAGTGGGTCCCAGGCTCTCTGTAAAAGGGTGAATTTCACACCTACAGAATGGGAAAAAAACCTTTTCTAACAAAACCTCAGTATTTGGTGGCATCTGGGAAGAAATGAGCATTCAGTAGCCACCATCCCTCTGCAGACATGCCTTAGGTGCCCAACATCTAGCTGAGATGGTTTTGCACTCAGTGGAGCAAGTTGGACCAATTTAATTCCCCATATCTAAATCACCTTCTTTGGGGGAACATCTTTCTTTCTGCATTGGCTGCATTGAAGTCATAAATAATTGGCCAGGACTAAGTATGAAGCTTTCAGATGATATGCATCCTCCTGAAAATGTTCATGATATATTAGGGTTGCTATGGTATGTTCTACATACCCTTAAATCCAGAAGCAGAAAGAAGTACCCTATTGCCACTCCAGGTAGAACAGAGTAAGCAGCACAGCTCACACAGAACCAAGAAAATAACCAAAGAAAGAGATCCTCAGGTCCTTTTTGCCCAGTCTGCACCTTCTGGAAGGACTCTGGTAGAAAATTCACACTTCCAGCTTCAGGATTCCCTTGACAAGATATCTAAGTGTGCAATTGAAAACTGTTTTTCCAGACTGATACTTGCCATCCAAAAAATGAGTTGTATTTCATCCTCATGGGTCACTTCCAACTAGAGATATTCTATGATTCTGTGATACACAAGCAAAGCTGGGGATGAGGGGTCAGAGTTCCTAAGTGCTACAGGCACTTAGGTACAATTCTCTGAAAGCCCACCAGGAAATGGTAGGATTGAAATCAGCTGAGAAATGGAGTGCAGTTCCTCCCTTCCTATGCTTACAGACTGTATGTTTTAACCGTCAGATCATCCATCATTCCTGTTCATCTGAGACACCTCATACTCACAGTGTCAGGTTTGGGTGAGGAATTCCCTTCATTCATCAGCTCATTTGAGCATCCATTACAGACAGCATGTTGGAGCTGGTCTGAGATGGGTCTGGTGAGTGTGAGTTCCTCATGTTTCAAATAGGCTTCACACAGCACCTGAAGAATACAAGCTTTAAAAGAAACAGGAATCACAGAATCATAGAATCACCAAGGTTAGAAAAGACCTCCAAGATCATCCAGTCCAACAATCCAACTATCACCAATAGTTCCCCACTAAACCATGTCCCTCAGTACAACATCTAAACTTCTCTTGAACATGGAAGCAATAGCTGTGCAGCTTCAGTCCCATGTTTCAGTGCCATCTTCCCTGCTGTCCCAGTGGTGATCATGGATTCACCCAGGATAGCTTTGATCTACCTCAGTGAGGTGCTCAGCGCTGAGAAGTGTCACTATGGGTTTCTCACCAGCTGTGCAAGCTCACCTCAGGCCCTGTATAGTTTCCACAGTAGCAGAACCACGTTGAGGTCTACTCTACAACAACATCACTGCTATTAATACCCAAGCTTTAGCCTGCCAGTGGTAAAAAGGGAATAAGAGCGCTCCTTAAATTTTGAGGGATGCAGTGAAGGTAAGTTCTTTAAAGATGGGAAAACATTCAGAGAATGATATCAGTATTGTCTAAATTTAGCTAAATTTATAATCCAGACGAATTTATAATCTAAAGCAGAGCTAGTTGTCTGGTCTCACTTTATAACTAATGAAAAGAACTATGTATTTTTCATCTCATCACAGTATCTGCCTTACTTTGGATATCTGCTTTAGGAGATGAATCATGACTTTTGACCATACTGAGTGGTTCTCTCTTGGTCAGGAAGAGAATTGGGGTTGGTAGCTGAGGTATAATACCTACTGTAATTTTGAAGACTTACCTGGCTGCTTAGGTTAGGGAACTGAATTGCTCTCAAGACCCAACAGTAAGTTCAGTAGGAGATCCTGTAGTAATAGAGATCAAGAGGAATATCCAGAAATTGGTCTAACTACTTTATTTCAGGCTCTAACTTTGAGTCTTGTCTGCCAGTGCTTTGGCAGAAAAAAAGTTACATTTGGTGTTAGGAGCATTTCCAGCCTTTCCTCCCATTGTGTTTTAGGATTCCTGTTATCTGTCTTTTGCTTATATACATGCATATTCCAGCTAGAGGCCCTGGGCTCCCTCTACGGTCTATGCAAAAAATATGCACTTAGGATTCATCTAGCCTGTTGTAAGTATCTGCTTGAGGATGATGCTTCCATTGACTGTACTGGGAGCCCACAGGCTCAGGTATGTCTGCACCGCAGATGCCAGTGTTCAGTTAAATGGTCTGGGGTTCTCCATCATATACAAGGAAAGCAGAGACAGCTGCCTGTGACAGGTCTCTGTAAGACAACCATCAGGAGCATCCATTCTGAGGGCTTGATTTCACTGTCTTAAGCTTAGATAGGTATTGCCATTTGAAATGCTATGGCATATTTGAGACATCAGATATGAGAGGTGAGGTGTGAGAAACCCACTTTCCTCAGAGTGCAGTACTCAGGACAGTACTGACTGAACTAGATGCACACCTGTAGTAATCCGAATCGAGCCCTGTGTTCCAATGGCTCAACAACAGCTGTCATCATTTTTCTCAGTGCTGTATAGTGTCCCTTTACTGAGGACACCTGTTCATTCCGTGTGTTCATGTCCTTTCCTTTTTTTTTTTTTTTTCACCAGGTCCGTTCTGCTGCCAGGAAAAGATGGCACCGCTGGCAGGACCATCACTCGCTCCGTGTGCGTGTGGCACGTGCCATGTCCATCCCCACATCCCCAACACGGATCAGCTTCCATAGCATCAAACAGACCGCAGCTGTGTGATACACCCTGCACATATATGCACCACCTGGTGGCCTTCAGGGTTCTTTCTTCAGTCTCCCCAAACTCCTCCTTTCTTCAGACTTCCTTCCTTTATTCTGCACTGCGCTTTTTTGGCAACGAGGTGCCCGTCGTATTGTTGTGGACTCTCATTTCCCGTGTTCATGATGCTGCTTTAAGACAACCGGGCTAAAAGCCTCCTGGAGTAAAGGGTGGCAAAGCAGATTCAAGGAAGAGATTTAACACTGACTGCACCTTGAGGAAGTCCACAGCACAGTCTAAAACAGCACAGTGGCAGCAACAATAAATTCATTCTCTTTTTTTTTTTTTTCCTTCGTTTTTTCCTCCCATAGTGTGGCGAACAAAACTATTTTTGACACACTGCCCATCTCACCTGTACATTGGTTCCCGATGATTTCAACAGATTTCGTGTGTAGATAGCCCATCTCATTGTCGGTTCTTTGTAAAAGTTTCTTCTCTGCAAGAAAAAGAGTATCTGAGAAATGCTGTGAAGAATCCGAATTTATCTACCTTCCCTGTTTCTCCCTTTGATAGACTGGGAGTTGGCCAGGGCATTGCTGGACTGTTATACATGGGGTGTTTTGCCTTGCAAGAACCCTTCCCTGTTCATGCATAAGATGTTGAAAAGGACAGCAGTATCTCTAGATAGCTCTATCAAGTATCCTTAACCCTCTCACCCCCGTATTTTCCACACAATGTAAGTAGCCTTTGGGGAAGTGTTTGGTTTTAGCTAAGAGGATTGGGCTGGGGAAGGACAGCAGGACATGATTTCTGGGTTTAAAAAATAGAAAAGGGAAGCACTGTAAAAAAACAATCAACCGTGAGAAGAGGATGTTTGCATTCTGAAGATAGTGCTATATGCTGCACAAAGATTATCTACTCAGCATTTTGAACTAGAGCAGTTGTATCTACTAGGCTTTTTATGTGATGTTCAGAAATACTGTATATTTTCAATAATAAACACTACTCTGGGTTGGTTTCAATAAAACCAGGCATCATTTTCTTTACTCTGGGAAGAAAAAGGAGCCCAGACTACCTGTAGACTTGAGATTGTTCTTGTATCCAAGATTAAAAAAGAACTCCAGTTTCAGGATAATATCTGGGGAGTCCAGGGACCAGAACTGCAACCAAAGAATTGCCAGATCTGAACCTAGATGTTGTTAGTCATGCTTCTTTCTAGCCACATGGTGTGGCTAAAGAAATAAGTCTTATAGAGACTCTGTGGGCTGAACAGCCCAAACGTTAGCAGGAGTGCAGTAATCAATACAGCTGACTTCAAATCCATATTGTCCAGACCAAACCCAGACGTCTGGCACCTGAAGAAGTGAACTAATGTCTCTATCAATAGACACTCAGCTTTCACAACCTTACAGTAAACCACTGGAATGCATCAGTGCTAAATTACTTGGGGCACCAACCTCATACCAGTGTTCTCAGGGCTGTTTCTAGGATGCCTTATTTTCACTCACAGTAAATACTCACCAAGCATTCAACATCAGCACTAGATGAAGACACCTTCAAGCAGTGGGATGGTTGCCCAGTGAGGGTGCTCTATCTCCGTCTCTGAACATTATTCCCTGAATTATTCTCAAGCTGTACTACTGTTAACAAAGGAATGAACATGAGCACGCTGTAGCTGCTGTATTTCTTTCAGGTGCACATCAGGGGGGCTTGGAAATTTGCTCATTCTCTGTCTTCAAAAGAAGCTTCTTCCATTGCTTTCTCCTGGTAAGGGTGCAAAGATGAATCAAGTCTCATCTGCTTTAGGCAAGACTCTCTCCCTGCTACTGCAATACCTTTCATTTTCATATCTCCCTTCAACAAAATAATCACTCAGCGCACAGATTTGGGATGATTCAGATGTGCCTTCTGGATCAGCAGAACTCTCAGTGTGCCAGGAAAATGGCTGTGGATATGATGGAGTGACAAAACGTTTGTGTGTGTTTGCATAGCAGTCTATGCGTCGGTACGCGCACATCTGCTTGCAGGTGGGTGAATGTGTGTCTGTGTACGTGAACGAAAGCAGAAAAGTTACATCAGATTTACAGCATACTGTTCAGGAAGAAAAGGAGGTTTCTTGGTTTTAGTGAGTTATTATGGAAATGAGCATCCGTGAACACTGAAGTACTTGAAACAGAATTCATAAGAGCTCTTCCAGGAAAAACTTGAAGTTCTGAGTGTTGCAGATAATACACATGCTAAATGCCATGTGAGAACAAGTGTAAGCTCACTTTGGATCTGGACTAATTGCTTCTTTCTGATGCTGTTTAAGCCTTTTCAACCCCTTTGCAGCTTGCAGTGGAAAGGACATCCTGTGTTCTCCTGACTGTGGCCTCTGGGAGTCAGCAATGCTGCACTGCATTTCCATGGATGCGAGGCTCTCAGCTGAGGGATTGTTTTTGATACTGAGATTTGTGTCAGATGGCAAACGCCATTTGAAGTGCATGGCACATGGTGTACTTCTCTGATGTCTTTTACTTCCAGACTGAGCTCCAGCCCCCATGAGGTACCAGTAAAAACCCTCTGCACCAGGGACAGATGGTCATTAAGCATTGATATCAGCCGTTCCACAGGAACACATATGGACTGTTCTGGTCACCAGATCACAGCAGAGTGGTTTTCAAAAGTCAAAATGCCAAAAAAGAAGAAAATGAAGATCTGCCATTCTGAACAGACTGTTGGATCCACTCTGTTGGATGATGAGAAAAAGAAAGAGGCATGGAACCATTCTGTGAGACCATATGTCCATACACTGGGAAATCATAGAATCATAGAAAGACAAGGTTGGAAAGGACCTACAAGATCATCTTGTCCAACCATCCCCCTATCACCATTACTACCCACTAAGCTACTAAACCATGTCTTGTAGCACCTCATCCAGATGCCTCTTGAACACTGCCAGGGTTGGTGACTCCACCACCTGCCTGAGCAGGGAGATTGAAGGATGTACTTCCAGGGCACCAAGGTCAATATGGCTTAAGAACCAGAGGAAGAAAGAAGGAACCACTGCTTTCTGCAGAGTGACTCTGTGCTTAGGTGAAGATGTTGAGGTCTCAAGCAAATAGGTGATGTTCCCTGGAGGAGGTCTCAAGGATGAACACAGCAAATAGGTGATGTCTTCTAGAGGAGTCTTCCTAGAATGGGGAAGGGGCTCTGAGCAGCAGCCATGCCAAGGTTCCTCTTCAGCATATGGAGAAGTTAACCTTCTCAGGACTCCCAACATCCCGACAGTAGCAGGCATCAGAAAAGAAGGTTTGGGACAGCCTTTTGCTGCCTCACGTGTTCTGTGCTGCAAACAGAAGTTTGCTTCATCAAACAGTCCCCATAGACTTTCCTTTTAGTTCATGGAGAGAAGCCAGTACTTTGGAGATCACAGTCCTCTGAGCTCCCCACCCAGAAAGTGGCATTTACCCATGCAAAAAGAATGTTGTAGGTTCATAAATATGAAGACTTCACTGAAATCCTTCAGATTTTCATGGATTAGTTCATTTAATTCCTTTTCTCATTTAATGCAGAACAGCTGGAAGATAGCTGCATCTCTGGAGAAACTTCTGGAAAACAAAGCACACCTACAAATGGTGGACTGGTAGCAAAATATGTGGTTAAAACAAAAAACATGCACGTTGGAGTTATTATTGCATTGAAGTATACATCAGTTTCTTACATTTCTCCACGTGCTAATTAACGTAGCAGGAGGAAAATGCTTCCGATTAGTATAATTGCCACAGAGCACTGCTGTAGTGACCTTCAACTATGAAAAGCCAGAGCTTTAAAAAAGAACTCATAAAACTTTAATGAGTTCCCCAGATGCTAACGAGCAGGCCAGCTTCCATTAAAGGTATCAGTGCTCCACTGTCTCCAAAGGCTGAGAAATGAACATCTGACCCTTCTGACACATCTCTCCTCAGTGCTCCCAGGCTGCACAGGGCCGTGTCAGAGGCTGAACCCATTAATTGCACTCTGGATATCAGCGTGTGCCAAATGACTGATTTCATCTTCTGAGGGAGAAAACTGACAAATTATAAAGCTGCCGGCAAGGTCATGTGAAACAGTAACAACACTCTGCAGGGATGCTTTGCTCAGAACCCAGTAGTGTTTTCTTGGCACGGCTGCTAATGAGCTGCCTGATCCAGGCTGAGCAGGGAGCAGAGCTAACCTGGCTCTTCCCAGTGCTCACCAGCCACATCCAGCCTGAGAGCACATGTAGATGGTGGAAGCTTCTGAACGTCCTTCAGATGTCTTGCTTGTGATTTAGGGGTTGACTCGGTTTGACCTTGGCCATACTCATTGACTGCTGGCTTACAGCTCAGCAATTCACTCACTGGTCAGCTAAAGGACTCACTGCTCCACAACCCTGTCCATCCATGGGTACCGAATCATTAGCTAATCCTCTTCAGGGTCTGAAGCAGGGGTTGTTTCTCCCTCTCACAAGGAAAGCAGCATCTTAGCCAACTCAGCAGCAGCACACAACCAAGGCAGTTAGGAGCCCTGGGACACCCTGAGTGCTGCCCAGCTCCAGGTTTGCTTATGAGATCTGCTGATTGCTGTGATTTCATATCTTATGGGCATCCCTGCCAGTCTCTTCTCCTTGCCTGCTATCCAGGCTGGGAATTGCTCCATTCTCAGTGTGTGCATGCATTTCAGATAAGCCATCAGGTTTGAAGAGCCTCTCCTCAGTGAAAAGATTATACGTCATTTTGGGAGATGAAAAAAACCAAACAAACCACAACTCCACCAACTACTCATCCTCTACTGTGTTGCCACAATAGCAACACTCGAGGGAAAGTTGGAGTTCGCTCTGAATAGCTAATGATGCCTTTTCTTGGCCCTCAGTTTGTTTGCATGTATATATAGAACCACACATTTTTATAATCCTGTTGCTTAAGAAGATGTCTTGTGGCTAGAGGATGACTCACAGAGCAAGAAACTCTCAGAAAGCAAATAAGTGCTAAATTGGGAATAGGACCCCTGTGCACTCTCTCCACCACTTCTGTAGACTTTTGGTGTCACTCCAAGGAAGATTCTTTTCTTTTTTCCTCTATTAGATTCTTCATCCATTTGTCCAGCTGAGCACTTAGAAGTTCTCTGGGGCGCAGACCTCTCGTGGTGGATGTCCATAAAACATCCAGCACCTAACGCAGCATGGGCTCTTTTTCAAAACCAAAATACAAAAAATATAATAATCTGAGAGGTGTACAGTTCAGTGCACATCTGCAACCTGGCATACAGCTCTGGGTCAGAGCAGTGACTCATCACAGACAGCAGAAGTATGAGTCGTGTCCATTGTGCGAACAACAAGCCCTGCTAGAAGTGGTTGATGAACACACTCATCAACCACTTGAGTTGCTCATAAATAATGTGAAAATAAATAATTTTTCAAGCTATCAACCACTGTTGGGATCTAGGCATGCACATGGACACCTAATGGGACTTTCAGACATCTCTTCATAGGCTGAGTGTGGAATTCTCATTGACTTCTGGTGAAGCTGAGCACCGATCAGATTTAGAACTATAGAACCGTGGAATTCTTAAGGTCAGTCCTTTGGTGCATACATGTCTTTCAGCAACAAGTAGAAATGTCCCATGAACTGGACAGAAAGGCTCTGTCCCTTTGGATGTCATGGCTGTGTCCCTTTGGACAAACCCAGCCATGAAGCTGAGTGCTGAGCCGTCCGTATCACAGAAAGCTCCATTGCTCCATTGCATGGACAGAAATAACTAACTGCAGCCAAAGATTTACTGTTTTTCTGTTTTGATCACTTCTATCTGACCCACCGAGAGCTTTGAAGATATGAATTGAGCTTTTGAACCCATAATCTTACAGGTTGGGAAAACAGCAAGGGGCAGGAGAAGTGTTGTTCTTTTTCCCAAAGTCATTTTAGATTTCTTTGATGGTGGTGCATATGAAAATACAAAAAAAATTCCACTGTTTTTCACTTGTTTTTTTTTCTCTCCTCAGATTTTTCT